ACTGACATGACAAACTTAGCATATTTCAGCTTGTCATGGCCGTTGACGCCGTATATGCTCGGAACACACTGCAATTTATCTCCCTCATGTAAGCACCGCAACCGACTTATAAATTAAAAGTTATCTTTACGCTATGCTGCATAGCATATTTAACCTCCTCTTTCTGACCTATGCTGTCGTTCAAATTGGAGAAATCCAAGACTCGGTCACATCGTCAGATGGAATCATCCACATACCTGTCAATGTTTTGACCGACGTTATTCCTGCAGTCATATCTGCTGCAGAAATAGCATATATCGCCCTCGGATGGAAAATATACCACGAATTTGGATGGAAGGTGTACAAGTTTCTTGGTGCCGATCGAAGGATCAAGAAAATGTATGCCAGTTACCAGATCTTCGAATGTCTCGTCAAGTTCGACGTTTTCTTCTGGGTCGGTTTCTGTGTGCAATTTATTGTTCTCGTGCTACAGCACGGGGATTGGGAGTATTACATCACCTGGGCAGCATTGCCTCTCTCAATCATATTGCTGATTGAAGGACATCTCGCTGCTCGACATGAGAACAAATGGATGATGGCAACTTTCATGTCGGGCTGCACTGGGGCCCTAATATACTTTATCTACAAGGTTCATATCGCATTAACAGTGATTTATTACTCTTTTAACATCATCCCCAGCTGTTCAAGGTAGTCAAGTACAGAGAAACGGATTATGTGGACACGTGGAAATCGTTAACCATATTTTGTGAGTCTATCTTCTTATTTTCTTTCATGAATTGAAACGAGTCATGTAGCATTCATCGCCATTCTCTTGCTATTCGCCACGTTCGTATTCGCATTCATAGTAATGCGAAATTTTGGACGAGGGTTGAAGACTTCGAGTAAGCGACTCCTTGTTTCATTTATTTTTTGGCTGACAATGTGGCGTAGTCACGAGGAGCAAAACCCATGCACGAACGGGCGGTTCCCAACATCTCGCTGGCATCAGCCCTATGAGCGCGAATCCAAATCGGATGAGCATCGATTGAACGAGCCGGCTTTCAAAATGGACTTGTATACTTGACCTACTGTTTGCCATATTGTTGATTCGACATGGTAGGCGACCTGCATTATATCACATCTACACCAACATATCATCTCGCATCCTCTTTTTGCGTTCGTATCTTTTTACTTAACTATTCATATATCATATATTTCTCGCGCTTGACTTGTTGCTGGGCTCATCCAAGCGCCCATCGTTTCATCTTTTTTTGGCCTTCGATGAACGAATTTTGGAGACGAATTCTAGATCGGTGGTATATTTGTACTGCCTGTCGCCTTTGCCTAGTCTTAGCCCATTGCACATTGTGGATACATTCCTATGTATTGTTAGGGTAACATTCGTTGAGCGTTTCAACTGGTCAATTCCACATTCCAACTCGAAGCACAGCGTCGAAGCTTGAAGCTTGAAGCTTGAAGCTTGAAGCTGACAGTTGTCTATATTTGGCCACTGACGTGGAACTGCTTCCAGTGCCAAAAGTGTGAACAGAATATTTCAAGGTTAGCATATAAAGTCAAGCCCATCTCAGTATTTTCATCACTCTCCAAGCTGGTCTTGCATTTATTTACTTATAATACATGTCTCAACGGTTAGCGGGTTCGTATCCAAGTTGTTCATATGATAGCTGATTTACTTAGAAGATTCAGAGCGCCAAATTCACTACGAGACCGTTCGAGCCTGTTGGGTGTGACACCACCAGCTTCGGGACGTTCATCGCCATATGACCATCATCCCGAATTCACGGCCCAGCGATATGTCGACGATTTGGAGGGACAGAATGATGAGCAACTCGAGGGCCTGAGTGCCAAAGTGAAATTGCTGAAGGATGTGAGTATTCAGTGCGTCAGAATTTGGAGTCAACACCTGAGTAGTAACCTTCCAGATTACCATCGGGATAGGCAACGAAGTGCGGGAATCTACCGTTCAGCTAAGCCAAATGGTAAGAGATCAACATTAGTCAAGTGAGCAGTTTCAGCAATTGTTTCTACAGAACGATGCTTTCGCGGAGACGTCTGGGATCCTAGCAGGAACGTTCCGACGCATGAATAATATGGCAGAACGCCAGGGTTGCCGTTGGTTATGGTACATCTTATTCTTAGTCATGGTGTTTTGGTTCTTCATCGTTGTATGGTGGTTTCGGCGGTGACAATACCATCTGGTGGTTTGGACTGGAACTCCCAACATATGAATACGGTCGATCGCCGACATTATAACCATTTAAACTAATGCTAACTCCAAGCAAGAGAAATGAAGAACAAAGCAAAGCAATATATATCAGTATAGAGAATGTAGGATTCGAAGTCCTAGTGCTGACAACGCTAGGGAGCGCCTAGAAATTTCGCATTCCCAATTTCCCAAATCATGCGTCTTCGCAGATAGCTCATGTCTCTTTGAGTGAAGTTGAAGATCTCTTCTCCACGAGACAAAGATTCCAGGAATTGGCATGTGAAGACTCCACAATCATATCCATTTTCCTGCTGTGGGGTATCCTAACCATCCGGTTAACGACATTAGCGACATGATTGCTGAGGCGCAACTCACCTCTGGATCATAATCCTCCCAGCCAGTGAAGTCGAACGGCTGTTTCTTCTTGTTTCGATGCTCCAAGTCAAGGTATTGTCGCAGAGTCTTTGAAAATATGGGTCAGTCGTAGATGTACAAGGATCACTAGAAGCTCACTTTGAAGACTTGTTGGCGATCAAGACTCATACTGTCAAATGACTCGATGCGCTTGCGCCGGAAGTTGATCGCTGCGGCAGTCCAGTGCGAGTTGTTGTGGTTGATAGGAATGAGGATGACATCTTTTGCAAAAATATCAAACTGAAATGGAGAATTTAGAACATCATGTTGGGTGGAACGCATCCTCGGTTTCTAACCTTTTTGGTCCATTTCGCTAATCTTGACCGCTCGTATCCCTCAATTCGCATTTTCGACCAGAAGAATGTGTTGAAATAGTGCACATTGAGCGGTTTGTTCTTCCCCCCAACAACACCATTGACCCCAGGATTCTCTTTACTGGCCTCAGATCGGGACAAGATCATTTGACCATAAAAGTTGATGATTTCATCATTAAGCCACTGGCATGGCAGCAGTCGAGATATATCTTTGTCCGAAACTTGCTCTCTGGCAATCTTAGATACAATGCCTCGCTTGGTGAGCAAGTTAGTGACTTGGGCATCCAAGTCGGCGGGCAGTGCTGCTGGGAGAGGTGGGGCTTTCGGTCGCAGACTTTGCTCTATCTTCTCATCTTTCTGACGTGCAGATCGACGAAGGAGGTCGTGACTTGGGGCGAAGGGCTTCGGAGGTGGACTAAGACTTGGCTGTTTAGAGATATTGATAGGTGGAAACGACGATGACTACCTGCTAAGTGATTGCCTCATTCTTCGAATTGCGCGTTCCAAGAATTCAGGACTGACATCCTGTGATGGCCTTAGGGAACCCACGGACCGCAGACAAACAATGAGCTTACATCGGAGAAAGAATGTCGGTGTGAAAGCGTTGGTGTATTAGATTTGGCGCGCAGGTCTGTCAGAGATGATGATGCTAGATACGAGGTTGAGTAAAGCCATGCAAAGCCATGCAAGGCAGAACATACGGGATAACACATCCCGCCGACTCAGAATCTCCAGTCGACCGGCGTAGTTGATATAGTCGTCTATCACGAAGCTGAGTAAGATGGTAAGCTGGTATGAAGGTGACCAACTTTTGAATGTATCATAGCCTTGATCGTATCCTACGCGACAGAGGATGAGGATAACAACCTTATGCAACAAGGCGTGCACTAACCTGCTTTCCGCCTCAAATTATAAAGTTCCTGAATCAACTCTTCGCGATCTCTCCTCCGCGTTTGCTGCACAATGTTTTTATGCTGGAAGATGATGGCGATAAATAAGACGTGGAAGGAATAAAATATAGAAAAATACTTCTTTCGCAAGTATATGAGGTCTATGGCGTATTTGGCCTTGGAACTTGAAGCGTTGAATATCCTGTGTACTATGGCCTGAGCTAGCCATTAATTTAAGGAACTGGCTATTCGGATTTTCTGCTTTTGACGTGGATGCTATTGATGTAGCAGAGGTATAGCCAGTGAGAGTTGATGGTGGTGACATAGCACTCCCATTCATTGCTCGAGATGATTCTGACCGTGACGGCTGGGAAGACGATAATTGAGATCGACGTGGCGGATCCATGGGACGTTGAAATTCTATGGGTATCGGTGGACGAGATGGAAGATGTGAGTGGTTGAATTGTGATGGCGCAGAAGGCCCAGTAGTAGCAGCTTTGGGCTTCGAAGTTGGTTCAGATTCAGATTCGACGTGCTCGCCCGATGCTGCCTTGCGTTTCAACACATTAATATCTTTACACCGAGAAAGCACTCACCGGTAAGAATCTGAAAAGTTTCTTGACCAAGCCGAAATACCTCTACTCCGAGCTTTCGCCACCGAGAAAGAATGCTCTGGGACTCCTCCGTTCGTTGATGTTTGATAGACCGAGTTGGAAGGAGGGAATCTGAGGCTTGTCTTTTGCGTGAGTTCATCGAGAGTTCCGCTCCAAGTTTACAGGTCAGGTCACTTCCTCCAGATTCCCTCACTTCTGGTCGCGATCCTTCTGGTCGCTATTGCGTCTGGTATTTTGCTGTGATTATCGAATTAATACAAGGTCTGTCAGTCTGGCTACCAGCTTTCTCCGCCCACCGCTCGCTTTGTATATATTTGATTAAAATGTCTAAATCAGGACTTCGCCGTACACGTTCCCACCACGGCTGCAAGATAGCTATCTAAGGCAGCTTCCTTTGTGGCCCGAATGCCACCCAAACGAAAGTAAAAGCCTCGACGTACAATATATATATATAATAGTGCGACAGGCCGGAATTGAACCGGCAACTATCGTTAATACCAGAGAGTAGTGAGTAAAGGAAAAAGAACGCCTCGGAGTGGTTGCAATAGGCGACAAAAAGCACTGCCGCGTGCAAGACTCGAACTTGCGACCTCAGGATTGCCAAACCTCAGGATTTGTCATACATTAGTATGAGACCTGCGCTCTAACCAACTGAGCCAACGCGGCTACATAATATTTCTTCCAAGGACAATTATAAAGACTTGACCTATCACTATCTTGTTTTGGAAAACTTGCTGCCCCAGCCCGTTATGGTGCCGGAACTGATTGGCTTAGGGTAGAGGTCGCAAGTTCGAACCTTGCTTCGGGCACTTCTTTTTATAAATGCCTTTTTGTTAATTTAAATGTCTACCAACATGAAAAAGGTCCAGACACCAGGAACAAGCAATCTCAAGACCATTAAAAAGACTGAG